ACGTTCACTTCGACCACATCCACAGTTGACCAGCAAAAAACTGCTATACGCAGCACATTCCGATGAGCGGGCATTTGGCGCGGGCAAGTAGGGGGGGGGGTGTAATTTTAGGAAACCTTCACCTGTTCATTCTTAGCAACATGTACTAAGCCTTCAGCCCAGCGTGTTCAAAGGACGTCCTGGAGAAGAATCTGCAAACACTCTTCGCTGTCCCATGCGGTCCCAGGGGCTCCTTGTCATGGTTTAGGGGTTTGGGGTTTAGGGTTTAGGGTCCCCATTCAGTAGATAGCATATGGGGTATATAGGGATCTTATTATAGTATACCCAGAGCCATAGTCTGTCTACCTTAAGGGGAGTAGGATTTGAGGCTGTTAGGGGTTTAGCGTTTGGGGTTTAGTGTCCTTGTCTCACAGACATAGTGAGCTCCTGCAGGTACCTTAGCAATTCTTACGGGCTACGAGGGCTTCTGGCGGGGTCCCTAGGATTCAACAGGGCCGTTTTGAGAAACTCTAGCATGAAGGTATCTCTCTGCGCTCTCGATGGCCTGCTTTCACCATGGCAGACCAAGCAACAAGAGCTGACGGGGATTCTATGAAATCGTTTCCCCCTATTCGGGTGCCCAAAAAATAGTTGAGTGAGGGGGTTTATTTACTGCAAAAAATAGATAGGGCTGCCTTTAGAATCCGTTTAACTCGATGGAAAATCAGTAATTGATTGGTTAAATCCATTAGTTAATTACGTTCGTTAATAACTGAATATTCAATCAAATGAGAGTACGTGTTTGATTAGTTAAATACGTAGTCATCGGAGTAATTAATTGACAATTACGGATTGAGAGCCCTAGAAGCCTCCCTACATTCTTTGGCGGCGCCTTTCAAAAGTAGTTTTGCCCTTTTCAATTTCTAAAAGTTCTGTTCAGTATTTTAGGCCACTGAATTCAGTAATTATTTAAGTAGGGGATTTAAGAATAGGGGAAGGCATTAGTATCTAAGGCTAAACTCCGCCAAGAACAGCCATCTTGGTTAGCAGAAATGGCACCTAGTTTGGATGGGATGCATGGCAATTCTCACGCTCAAACCATTTCTGGAGTATTCCAAGGCTGTCAGGGCGCATGTGTCCATGAGCAGATAAGTTCACTGACTTTTAGGAATACAAAGAGATGGCAATTTCCTCGTTATCTGTTGGGTACTGCCCCCCCCCCCCTCAGCAACAGTTGGATATTTATTATAATATGGTTATATATAGCCCTTAATGGGACCCCTAATATAGACTGTTACTGGGGGGGGGAGGCAGTACGCAAGTTATCTGGTAAGAAGCATGATAGCACCTGAGAGGGGCTTACGAGGAGGTTTTGTGAACGGATAACTCGGAGACAGGCCTTGGGCCCACAACCTCAAGACTGAGAGACTGACCTAATGCTTTTCACATAGACCCCCAAAACTGGGTTGCTGGCAAGGAACGGAATTCAGGTTCGTATTTTGGGGAGACCATATTCATTACTTTATATGCCCATTCTGGTTAGTTAATCTAAGTTCCTTAACAGCAACCCCCAAAACCCTGTCGCCCTCGGATGTCCTCCCGACAGGGGCACTGTCGAAGATCTCCAAACTGGCATCAGCCGACGTGAAAAAGTTCCAGTTCTTTGCCGAGCTCGCCAAGGAACGCGCATTCTCGGGCCCGAGGATGAATACAGCTTTTTGGGTTTAGGTGCAAAGCCGTTTAGGGTTTAGGGTTTAGGTGTTAAGGCTTAGGGGTTTAGGCTTTAAGGCCTTTAGGGTTTGGGTTTTAGGGGAGCATTGTAGATAGTGGGGCTCTGCCGGATGTTATAAGCCACAGTAAGATGAGAGGTACTTGTACACGAAAGCCTTCTCAGATTGCAGAAGATGTGGCGTTTGCATATTGGAACCTTGAACATAGGGGACCCTGGATATGGAACTCAAAAAAATACGAGAACCTTTATTAGGAAAACCGTCGAAAAGGGACCCCTAATTTCTCAGAACCCCCAATGTTGTTGGGTGCACTTGCAGCCTAGAGTCTGCCTTTCCGAGGACTAAGCCTCTCCCCCTTATAGTAAATACTCCCAACATGGGGAGGGTGGTTCCCAAATTTAGGGGTGCTTTTTT